CCCAATATTTTAACTCGTAATCAATGTCAAAAATCCACGACTATTAACGATGATAATCTATTATTGTCATCATCACTATCATCAGAATCTTCTGAAATATATGCCAGCTCATCATCAACGAATTTAAAAACACCTGTATTAGATGTAGAGTTTCATCCACATTTATCTGATACTTATTGTGTTGTTTGCCTGGTAGAACCAAGAGTTTGTGTACTTAAACCCTGTGGCTGCTTTTCAATATGCGAGACGGTAAGTGTATATATATTGTATTTAACTTCCTTAATAAAAAAAGTCAAGTTATTTATGATAATTGTATTTTTTTTTTAATTAGTGTCGTGAAATGATGGCTCAACGTAATACAAAGTAAGTAATAGTAGATTTGACTGTATTATAACATTAATGATTTATTCTTGTTTTATCAATCTTATTAAATCACACGCATGTATATTTCTTTACAAAGATTATGTCCGTGTTGTAGACGAGCGGTGGAAGGTTATTCGCGCGTATACGTTCCATAAATCCTTCTCTTTCTCCGCACAGAGAATTACCATTTTAATAAAGAGTTATTGATTGTATTGAGGATTTTTTTAAAAGGCATATAAAAAATCATGATAAACTAAATATCAATTGGGGACTCTATCTATTATTAGTTTACTATGATTGTTTTCTAACACTCAATAATCAATCATAAAGGCATTATTTATCTACTTGCATAAATAAATGAGTTTATATGTGTGTGTAATAATAATAAGATTGTAATATAAAGGAAAAAAAATCAGTAATTAATGCTTGACATTAATAATAAAAGATAAATTTTGTAAATACTCGATTAGAAATTATTATATTTTAACAAACCTTGTTATAATAATAATGAACTTGATGTTAAAAATTCGTTATAACACGTATTTAATTATGTTACATTCATTATAACGAGGCCCGACTGAACAATTATTGTAAAATGAGAAAGTCCCACTTAGAAAACTCGCGCAAGGTAATTCTATTTATGGTTGTTGTACGTGAAAATGAAATTATGTGAATTCGCAATTCACAT